GTGTGTGTTTGTGTTTGTCTGTCTGTCTGTCTGTCTGTCTGTGTCTGTGTCTGTGTCTGTGTGTGTGTGTGTGTGTGTGTGTGCGTGTGTGTGTGTGTGGTACGATGGCATGTTACCAGAGGAATGTCAGTGTGGGAAATCTGAGTAAATCTCTTCCGCTCCGAAAGCTTCGCAGAGATTCGGCCAAAATAGGAGTTTACTCATAGCACGCACTCGCTGTAGGAGTCTGTTCCTGATGATAATGATTGCGGACGATTCTGTCAGGAGAAACCAATGATGGAGGAACCAGTTTAATTCATAACTCTCACAGAAAACTGAGCTAAATGTGACTGAACAAATTTCACATCCATCTCAACCAGACCCTCAGTGATGGATAATGACGCCTCAGCTGAAAAACGACCTAAAGATCACTGAAACCGCATAGCGATGCACTGGCAGCCACTCGGTCATGATGGTGCTGAATTCAGCGTGATGAAATGCGCTTCAGAGACGGGTGGTGTGTGTGTTTCTGCAGGTGGTGTGATGAAGAGCGAGTGATGAGCTGCAGTGAGGAATGTCCGTCTGTCTGCTGCTGGTCCTCTTCACACTGACCGCAAACACTCAGGTGAAAACAACAGCACGAGCTCTCACTCCACACGCTAGCCTTCACACATTTGGGGTTAGTAGGGGCTTTTATGTTTTTGAGTCTTTTCTGATTCATTTGATAAAAATGCGTTAAAAATGTGACACATTATTATGATTTAAAATAGCTGTTTTCTATGTGAATATCTGGAATAAATATTATTTATTTCTGTGATCAAAGCTATATTTTCAGCATCATTACTCCAGTCTTCAGTGTCACATGATCTTCAGAAATCATTCTAATATGCTGATTTGCTGCTCAAGAAACATTTCTGATTATTATCAATGTTGAAAACAGTTGTGCTGCCCAATATTTCTGTGGAAACTGTGATACATTTTATTTTTTAAGGGTAAACAGATAAAGAAAAGTAGTTATTTGAACATTATAAATGTCTCTTATGATCAATTTAATGCGTCCTTGCTGAATAAAAATATTAATTCTAGTGCTGTCAAACGATTAATCGCGATTAATCGCATCCAAAATAAAAGTTTTTTGTTTACACAATATATGTGTGTGTACTGTGTATATTGCATGCATACATGCATGTATACATTTCAGAAAAATATTTTGTTTATATATTAAATATATTTATTTATAATATAAATTATATGAATATAAGACATGCTTTATTAACATATTGACATTCAAAATGCCATGCTTTCTGTGTCAATGCATTTTTTTTTTTTTATAAATAATTTACGAAATAATTGAATAAGTGGGAAATCATAATTGATTTGATATCATAAAAGAAATAATTTACGAAATAATTGAATAAGTGGGAAATCATAATTGATTTGATATCATAAAAGTGTTTGATCAGGCTGAACTAAGTTGTTCTTACAGTCTTTATTAGAGCTGGATAGGCTCTCTCATCTTTGTTAAAGAGTTTAGACAATGCATTTTTCAGTTATTCAATAATATTGACTGTAAATAATGTGGTGTGATGATATTTGCTAGATAGGGCCGTTATGATGCACTTTTGCTCTGACCTTCAACCCTAAAACTTTTTGACACGCAACATGCTTTGATAAAAACCATCATGGGTTATTAATATTCTTCTTTATAATGCATGCTTTACAAAGTACAGTGAAAGCAAGTGAAATTGATTGTGTTATCTGTCCGAATGAAACGCATGTCAGAGCTGAACTTACTGTGACAGGATGATTTACAGTAATGCAGCGCTTCAGGACACGGTTGCAGAGAAATATAAGTAACACATCAGTGCATTTTTAACTCCTGAAGATGGAATTTAACATATGCTGTGAGCAGATCGGCGATGGTCTCACTTACCTGTCAGACTGCTGAAATAAATAAGTGCTTTCAACCGACCTGCAAACGCTGCATGCCATCCGGGAGTCATTTAAGACATGAAGGGTTTTTAATGACAGATTCCACCAAACCAGCGCTCAGGTTCACGCTCTCAGATGCTCTCGTGTAACAGTCACACACTCTACAGTTCTCACTTCAGATGCACCGTCCTCCTCACACTCCTCATGACTTGCACCCAAGAGAAATGTCTTTTGTCTTGATAAGACAGAGGAATTAAATCTCAACTCTTAACAGGTTATATCAGCTCATTGCTAGCAGTCAACCTACAGCATGAATATTTAACATAAAAAACACTAGTAAGACTGCTGACATGCTAGAAAAGGACAGTTGTTATTACATGGTTATTGTAGTTAATTAAAACTAAAACTTAAAAAGAAAAATTAAGTTACTTGAAATAAACTCTCGCTGAGATAAAATAAACTGAAATAGTCTGAAAAAATGTAATTATGAATTAAAAAATAAGTTAAAAAAGTAAACTGCCAAAGCAACTTGATGTATACTAAAATTACTAACAATGAAAATGAAAAAAAATAAATAAATAAATGAATAAATGAAACAGAAACTATAAAGGCATATAAAAATACAATAACCAAAAAAAAGAAAGAAATTACAAAAAAAGTTAAAATGAAAATGGACAATACAAGAATAAAAACTAATTAAAAATATTTTGTATACATTTATAGTGTCTAAATTATGCTCAGATAACACTGCTTTAATGACATGATGTGAATTAAAACATATTTTTACCTGCATATACTCTTATCTTTATATGAATATGCAACATGATCTCCAGTGTTATAATAGTATTATTTATATTAGTATTTACTAATATTTAGAATTAGCTTTTAGAAGTTATGTGTTATGTGCTTTTGTAACTTGTATTAGTTTTAATAAAAGTAATTTGATTTGCTTCAGTGTTATTTTAATATTTATTTTATTTATTTTATTTATTTTATTTATTTTATTTATTTATTTAGTAATTTAGCAGACGCTTTTATCCAAAGCGACTTACAAATGAGGACAATAAGGACAATAAAAACTAACAAAAAAGTCTCGGTTAGCCTAACGCAGTACACGTTGTAGAACAGCAATGTTCCTCAATAAGGGTTTGAGTAAGCATGGGGAGAGCAAACACTCCGAGCTCACAAGTGTTAGTGAAAAAGTCTGTGATAGTGATTTTGTGTCTCTTTGAGATGGCACAATAATACGTCGTTCACTTGCAGAACGCAAGCTTCTAGAGGGTACATAACTCTGAAGTAATGAATTTAGGTAAAGGGGTGGTTTTGTAGGCAAACATTAATGCCTTGAATTTAATGCGAGCAGCTACTGGTAGCCAGTGCAAATTGATGAACAGAGGTGTGACATGCGTTCTTTTCGGTTCATTAAAGATTAATCTTGCAGCGGCATTTTGGATTAATTGTAGAGGTTTGATAGAAGTGGCTAGAAGACCTGCCAAGAGAGCATTGCAATACTCCAGCCTGGATAGAACAAGAGCTTGAACAAGGAGTTGTGTTGTAATTTATTTATATGCATTTGTTGTATTTATATAATATTATAGTATGAATTCATATTTTAAATTAGCTTTTATTGTTATTTTTCATTTTAGTTTGAGTGATTTTCTTATGTGGCTTCATTTTTTATTTATTAAAACAAATATTTTTATTTTACTGTTAGTTTTAGTACTTAAACTTATTTTATTTCAGTCAGTTGCCCAAGCAACATTTCTAATTTTCTAAGTTTTTACATTTTTCATCAAATGTGTTTATTTTTAGCTCAGCTTTATTTCAGTTCCCAAAACAGGAACTTTTTAATAGTTTTAGTTTGCAATAACAACAATGATCTCTTTAACATTCATAAAATCTAGTGTGTACATGCACACTTTGTATGCAGATGTTGCAGTTTAAGAAATCAATAGAATGCTAATCCGCGAGTCTCGCGCTGTGTTTGTGTGTGTGAGCAGTTCATCAGGGGCTGGTTTACCGCGTGTGCGGCACTGACAGCAGATGGGCTCATGGGAAAAACACCAGCGAGTGTGAGCAGGATGACCCAGGACAGGTGAGCCATGTGTTTAATGACTTGATGATGTTTTTGAGCGATTAAGCTAACACTTGGCTGACTCTCTCTCCCTCTCTCTCTCCCTCTCTCTCTCTCTCTCTCTCTCTCTCTCTCTGTCTGTGTGCAGAAGCAGTACGGTCAGATCCTCAGTAAGTTCAGAGTCATGTACACCGTGGGATACTCGCTGTCTCTGGCAGCACTGACTCTCGCGCTGGCCATCCTGATCAGCTTCAGGTGAATGCAGCATCTACCAAACACACGGACCTCACCACACACTGTACTTCAGCACTCAGTACAAATTACATCATGAAAGCTGTAGCTAGTAATCTAATCGATTACATTACACATTTTAGCTAATATAATCGGATTATGTTTTGATTACTTTTAGACTACTTTTAACCTGTCACATTGATTTGAATAGGATAATCTCGTACCATATTGATATAAAAATACAAAGAGAAAGAAACTGTATTCCATTCTTTGTTATCAACAGCATTGAAGTGTATTAAACATGACATTATGCCAGGGTTTCCTGAACCGGGGGTTTTGTAGTCGAAAAAAAGTAACTGTAGTCTGATTACAGGTATTCTAAAATTCATTATAATCTACTAAGTGTTTAATTTGTGTAACTTGATTACGTAATCCAGATTGCATATGCTGATCACACATAAATCAGTGTTCACATTCCCACAGGAAGCTGCACTGCATGAGGAACAACATCCACATGAATCTGTTCGGCTCCTTCATCCTGCGCGCCGTCTCCATCCTCGTCAAAGACGCGCTGCTGGATCAGATGAGCAGCGCTCAGAGCTTCCAGGGGCAGCGCTGGGTCGGCGCTCAGGTACTCATCACTGTTTACAGGCAGGTCGAGCTGAATCCACAGGAAAGTGCAGGTGTGTTCAAGGACGTCTGTTCACGCACTGTAAGCTCGGATCAAGCTCTTTAAATCGCTTTCTCTCAAAGTCGTTCTATAAGCGACATTGCTTCCTGGCAGTTGTTGACTTGCGTTGTGTAAAGACGGCCAATCAGACTGGATCTTGCTATTTTGCATTATGTTTCAGAGCGATATACCAGCCAAAAGCTGCCAGTCAGTGACTCTTAAACGCATTAAAGTTCAGAAACGACACTATATGTAACAGTACACTTCGAGCCAAATGCTTATTATGAACTCATTTAAACAAGAAAAGCTGTATAGATTGACTGACTAAAAAAACAACGCTAAGCAGATAAATGGTATTTATAGTAAGATAAATTTGATACATTTTGTTAAAAAAAAAAAAAAAAAAGAAATTTTTTATGAGAAATGTATAAATATAATTTTGTATCTAAGCACATTTTAAGTTGTTCACATTTAAGTTATTGGTAATA